TATCGCCCACGCCATGTTATGGTGATTCCGCAGGCTGGAAAGTGTTTATGCGGGCATATACAAGTGCAATGATTTATATGGCGCCAACATATTCCACAGCGTTGTATAATAAATAAACCAAGACAACAAATTAATTCTATCAAAACATTTTTTACATAAAAGAACATTCGGTGAAGAGGGCCCTGCCCAAACAAGCTTGCAATCTAAAAGCATACTTAGTGGTTTATACCAATAAAAAAGCGAAATCGAAGACATATAAAACACTCTAGTGGGAGAACCCACGTCCAGTTAGAGACAGAAGTGCACAGCCAGGCGCTCAACCACACTCCCTGGAACGGATTGTGGGGGTTGTAAATTATTAAAACCCAGATTCATCACATTAAGAGGATAGATGCGTTGAGATGAGCGGTGAGTGTCACGGGAGCAGGCTGTAAGCTTTAAATAACACGCTATTGTCTAACATCTTAACAAAAGGTGCCCTTCTTCCTCTTAATTTTTCCTTGATTTTTAGTGGCGGGGAGAAGCCATGGGTTTTTGTGAAGTTTCCAATCTGAATTGCAAAGAATGAATCAAATCTTCTCAAAGACTCAGAACAGATGAACAATAGTTGAGGATCTGGCTTTTAAAAAGCACAATTACTTAAAAGCTTTATTACACTAATAGCTGTAACACAATTGTCTCAACGTCGATTATAATAAAAGAAAACTCAACTGGAATGAGGAATAAGGGGGGGGGGGGACATGTCATTATTTTGTTTAACGCCGTTTGTGTCTGTTCCACTAGGGGGAAAAAAATGGAGACATTAACATAGGGGTGAGGAATGGAAGACAGATAATCGAGCTGTTGTATTGTTCAGTTTCGGTGCTGAAGGCAGAGAGCTGATTGTGAAGGGTGTCAGGATTGTATGGAGGTATTTTACATGAATTGTGTTCTGTTTGTTCACTTCACTAGCTTTGCACCACACAGCACTTTTTACAAGGAAGTTTTTACTTATTATGTTACATGTTTGAACAGGTACCTTGTCATGGAAGGGGGAACTGAGATTTATCAGTATTTTTAACATTCTGTTTACTTAACGGGTTACTCCAAGCACCATAACCACTTTATTGACTTACATTTTCTAAAATATTTTTTGATGTGTGGGGGGCGGGATGACCACAGAAATGGTTCCTACAACAAAAAACAGTGTTTAATGAACACACTATTTGTTTTTTTTTGTTGTTGGGGTAACCCTATTACCCCTATATTTGACAAATACGTATATTGCGAGGCATGAAAAAGAAAATGAAATGTAGACACTTAATGTTTTGACCTCTTCACTTCCACTGACTTCGTTAACACTGTGTCACTGTTTGCCTGACGCTTTTCACAAGCAGAGCTATTAACTTAATTCATTAATTTAAAGCTGTTTTAAGGCTTAATATTTGAAATTCACTTTGAGTTCATTCAAATAAACTTCCCAGACAGACCGACCGCAGTTCCATTTTTGTATCTACCTACCTCTCTATCTATCTTCTTATCTATATATCTGTCTATCTATCTGTCTATCTGTCTGTCTGTCTGTCTGTCTGTCTGTCTCTCTCTCTCTCTCTCTCTCTCTACCAACCTACATACCTGTCTATCTGTCTATCTGTGTGTGTGTGTGTGTCTCTCTCTCTCTATACAGTATACATACATACTTTTTTGAGTGATTAAAGGGTTTTTAAGGTAATAGGTACGCTTTAATTCAGTATTGGTCAGTCTTACAGGACAGGGCCATTTTATTACACATTTATAAGCACATTACTGTACAATGCTTGCTTGAGGCATGTTGGAAAACATTGTGTCTGCTGAGATCAAAATGTATTTCTTGAAGTATTTGATGCAGAGACGATCCAAGGTCACATACAGGACACGTAATAACTATGTAGTTATAACCTACCACTTTAATAGTTCCTGCCGGCCAATCTCAGGGAAGGCACCTTTTTCGAGGTGCAAAGTACCTCCGTGATCCTGTTTGTCACAAGAAGCAGAAAAGCATTTTACTCATGGTGATTGCCACCGACAGGAGAAAAAAAAGTAAGCGTGCATTTCATCCGTAAGCGGTGTGTTGAAAAGTGGAAAATGTAGACATAGAAATCCATTTTAATACTTCTAAGAAATTGCATTGCATTTAAACATCTGCAGAGCTTGTAATTAGAAAGAACGGAGGGCGATTTAAAGCATCTGTTTAATACATAGCACTGGTTGCCAAAGAATGTACTAATGTGGGCTAAGTAAAGGGATCAGAGAAAAAATATTGCAGCATTAGAAATGTGTGTTTTTTTCATTTTAAATCAAATAACCTGGTTTACTTTTTCCTCTCCCTCTCTCTTTTTAATAGTAAATAATCTTTCGAAATCATCTGTCTGGCAGAGGGGTGAAATTTGTCATGCAAAGCGCAGGGCAGACGGGGGACAACGCATCAAAATGGAAATGAGACCAGGTAATATTTCCTAATGCAGAGCAGGTCGGTGACATATGAGCCAGGGGATTCCAAATGACAGTGCTGTTTGCAAAGCAAAATCGTTCAGCATAGAAGGGATAGGCCTGTTAAAGCGCCTGGAGTTAGGCAATGAGAACAAGGAGGTGGGGTGGTCAGAGCAGAATGACTTAGAATGGGAGATGATCTAGAATTCCGAGGGTTCTTTACAAAAATGGAATTTTGAGCAGAAGCAAATTTCGACCTTGTGCACGTAGACAGTTGAGGTATGTCCTGGCCTCTCTCCAGATGAAGGATTCAGGGTAAATAAGAAGCCTCGAGTTACGGCTTCTAAGGGAGCAATTTCCTGAAGCCATCATTAAGTCAATCACCATTGGTTACACTTTGATGGTACATTTTGCATTAGAAGCCTAAATGGACATTATATTTTTATTGTCCCCATAGGAACCACTCAAAATAAACAGAAAAGGCTGCAAAATGTCATCTTTAAAATGAATACACAACACTATTCCCCACGCATGATACTTCATCTCTCTCCTCCTTGATGCAATGTTCTCTCATTTCTCATATAAATGGCTGTCATCGGCCAGACAAAACTGATGTAAAGCAATACAATGAATATACTCTGAAAGACAAATTAAAATTCACTCTTTTTGCCATAATTTTACTACCAATGCTGCCAGTCTGCACGCATGATATATAATACTCTGGGTGATTATAAAAGTGTATGAAGCATATGTTTGTGTGAATGAAATCAGTTTTGATGGAGTCTGATTGCAGAATGTAGACTAAATACAGGACAGCGAGCCAAGCAGAGGATTTGTGAAAAATGTTCAGGATTTATTTAGATGAATGGGTGAAATGCTTACAGGGCCACACATCAAGCTTCAAATTTCCTAAGGCATATGATGGCAAGTCAGAGGCAAAAGTTAGAAGGAAGCATATGTTATGTTCCGAAATTTACCCAACTGCCCCTGAACTGATCCAGAAGAGCTGAGTCCAGCTGAACCACCTGCATGGTCCTAGAAGGGCTTTGAACGGTTTAAGATTCACTCATGAACTAACAAGCCGGGTCAATTATCAAGCAGAGCACCAACCGTTGCTGCCCACCTGTTCCCTCACTAGTAGGACTGGATCTGGTGGGACACCAATTGAGGTTCCCCCTCTAACTCAAGGAAAGGCCTGCTCAGTGGTCTTCTCTGTACTCTCTCGGTGTGCCAGGAGATGCCCTGTCCACAATATTACAAATTCCCTACTTAATATAACATGCTATGTGATGACCAGTCCCCAGCAAATATATGCACAAGCATTAACCATTATACTGAGAAATGCATTGTCACTGAGCATAATAGGCATCACTCCCTAAAGCACATAGGTCTGGGTGATGCCTAGCCCCCATGGTACTAATAAAATATCCCTGACTTTCCCATGATGCCATATATAATTAACGAGGGGGGTACAAGGATCCCTCTGTACTGATTGCCTGCTCCCTTGCGTCCCCTGCAGTGATGATGAGAGCAGGGTTTGTGACATCACCCCAGCCCTGGGGTCACTAAAGATCTGCAGGGAGCTGGACAATCAGTGCAGGCTGATCCAGCAGCTCCAATTGGACCCCAAGGATCTGGCACTATTCCAGCACTCCCTGTCCAGGTAATAAAGGGAGGCTGAGCGGACCCCATAATAAATAAATATAAATAAAGTGTTTGAATATGAATATGTCTGTACATGAATGGATTACAAATTTAAAAATATACTTTTTCAACCAGTACGTGGTGGCATTCAGGCGTGCTGTAAGCCATCTCGAAGTGTGCCACCGAGAGACTCAATGCAATCCTTAATAAAGTGTCAGCAATGAAAATTGGCAAATAATTAAATCAAAGTCAATTGAGCTGAAACTATGTATATCTCTAGGAAGTCTTCGGGTAAACGTGACAGTTATAAACTACTGATGAAGATAGAAAAAATAAGTGTGCCTTGGGAATTGTTCTTCTATTGATGTGTGATAGGTCCAAAACAGCTTGGGAGTCGCTGATCTATACAACAAACCGTTATTACATACACGGTATGAATACAGATAAATAGACAGATATTTTCAGACATTTCAAACTGGTGGAAGATTGGATGATTTCTGGAAATATATTCTCTGTAGGAGAATGGCTGTTTACCTACTTCCTGTTGATGTTTGGACAAGTAATTATAAATTAGGTAAAAAAAAAGATGGAGGGAATGACTAGGTTACAGTGTCAGCCAGTCCAGATAATTTAACCAATAATGAATGACTGATGTGCACAGCAATTAGACTGAAGGATAACGCAGCGTATAGCACTCCATACCCATAGAATCACATGAACAACGTCTGACTGTAGGGAATAACCCTGTTATTTGGGACATTTTCGGACTGAGGTACTGAATGTTCAGAGTGGGCGCTCTGTCCTACATATTCTAGCTGGTAAGATTCCTTCTATTTCTATATATTTTCATTCTGTTTCAATTTCCTAGTGCTGACAACCAGGGACCAGACCTACAAGGTGCGAGTCATCCCAGAGGCCACAGCTACTGCAAAGTACTGTGCTCAGGAGCTGAGAATGGTGAAAACATCTCACAAAACAGATTCAGGGCATCCTTGAGTTAAGGCTAGATATTTACTTGGCCAAAAAGAAATTGAAGAGGTCCAGTAGACATCTTGCTCAAACTAGCCTTGACGGGGGTTGAACCCTTGTACCCAACTTTCCAGTAGAGTGCGTGGACTCACTGTGCCACTGTGGAACCTGTAATGGTGTAATGGCCCAGCTGTGTTTATTCACAGTGTGCTCATACTTTCCTTGCCTGGGTTGCCTTCATGTATAGAACCTTTGGGAGTCACAGCTGCTGCTTTTCAGATAACCTGAGCTAATCTACTCCTGAGAATTAGATCCCATAGTGAGCAAGGCCTACCTGTTTAAATGTGGCCTCTGTTTCCATGGGGTCTTGGCATTAGGTTAATTTTTATTTTCCTACTGACGTTCTACCTTTCTGACTCTATCCAAACATCTGGCTCCTATAATCACTGTACAGTCAAACTTGACTTGATCGCGTTTCTTCCTCGCGATGTTCAATTTGAACAAATGAACGTCTTGACCATGTCTGCACGCTTATGCAATTAGTTGCTTGTACATGATTGGCTGATTCGATACCTGCCTTAATAAACAGGTGTGCATGTGTACATAATAAATGGGCTATTAATTCTATGGTATGCGTCATACTAATTATTCATACTATTGTGTAACATTTCTATTATGTATTGTAAAATCTAGCCTGGCGTGTCCCTGTGATTTTAATTCAAAGAATGTATTCTTCCAGCTGGTTTTTATTTAAGCCAGCCAACAGTTATACATATAACACAGAACACCAAATACACTAATAGACCTAGTTACTGAATTACGAACCCTAGGGAATCCTAACCTGGCCCTGCTCCCTTCCAAATCCTGCTATCCTCACTTACTTCCACTATACCTTAACTAAATGTATCTGTATAATATAAATAACAGGTCACTTTATCAGAGGGCTCTCGGCTGATTTCCCCTGTGTACTCCTTTAAATAATGTCAGCGGTAAAACGTGTTCTGCAGCCAGGCGGCTGAGATGGCAGATTTATTCGCACCCCTCCCAACAGGGGGAGAAGGAATGGATGGAGTGAGAGTACTAAGACAGAAATCAAGGGAGCTGAAGTAGATACAGGCAGCTGCAGGAGTAAGAAGACATGAGAGGAAAGGAGAGGCATTAAAAGAGGTCACTCAGGGTGAGAAAGTGAGAGAGAGGCAGACGACGACGATGAGACAGCAAACTTTGGCATTAGAGAAACATTTATCAGCCTAAAGGGGAAATTAGATAATTTAATAAAACACTGAAATCACCTAGAACTTGTGTTAATGTTTTTATGCAATGCTTAGTTTGCTTATTTTGTTTGTTAATTTGTTGTTTTTGTTATTATATAAAAGATACAATCCATTATAACACAGTGCAGTTCAAGCCGGGTACAGCCATGGCAAATGTAGCAAATAACGAGAAGACCTAGAAACATTGCTGCAGAACACGCTCCTGTACTCACCAATGCCCTTCTTTCAGCCATCGAAGGTAGAAAAGGTGAAACACAGGTCGGGGGCCTACAGACCACCAGCCTATCCTAGCTGGGAGTCGCTAATCGGAGGATCACCTCCTACCAGCAACGCAGACACAACAGCACAACTCCAACCAGCACTCACAGCCTCCACATCTAACATGAGGTGCAAATCGCACAAACCCTCACCCAGAACAGTGTCCGAAACACAAGATATCAGCTCCATGCTCCAGATGAAGGCTCAGCCCAAAATGGAGATCGGAGAGAGCGTGAATGCACTAGCCCCCTCGGACCCACCAGATTGTGGTGGGACTGGTTCCTCCTAGGAGTAGGGCCTGACAACCACCACGTAGATAGACTAACTGGCTGAAAACCTTGCCACTAAGCAAGACATTCAGGCATTCCTGCAAGACATTAAAAAGCTGCTTACAACAGACATAGCAGAGATCAAAATGAACGTTCAGCAGGCCACAGATCGAGTGAAGGCTACAGAGGAGGAATATGTGATGGATATCCGCACAGAGGTTTCCAATATAAAGGACTCACTCCATACGCTCCAATCCACTCATAGGGTATTTACCTCACAACTGTCGGCCCTAGAAGACCATCATAGACGCAATCATATTCAAATCAGAGGCATCCCAGCTGATATCACAACAGAGGAAATACTCCACTACTTAAGACGCCTTATTGCTACCATGCTACCCCCTTATGTAGCTCGAAGATTTGTTCTGGATGGGACATACGGACTCCCTGGTGCAACCAAATCGCCCAACGTTACACCACGGGATATAATTCTCCATTGCACATCCTCCCAAGATAAAGGGCAACGCTTGACTGCACTGACAGCAAAACGCCATTCCCATTCGAGAACTCACACTTATCTTTTTACCAAGACCTGACCAGGGATACCCTGCAATGGCGTAAGTCTCTCAGCACCATCACGCTCCGCGTGTCTTGTGGTGTGAAAGGAGCTGATCTGAGGGAGCCAAACCCCTCGGAGAAACGCGTCATCATGCTCTGACGTCATTACGCTCACCGGCCGCTAAGCCCCACCTCCCGGAAGTGTTTGGAATCAGGAAGTCTTTTCGACATTCAGAGACTCTGTATAGCCGGCGCCGATATAGAGACTGTATACACCAGCACTAACCAATAAGAGGTGACCAGATAAGTGGGACTTACCAGCCTAATACAGCGATATTTTTAAAGAAGCAATAAAGGATTTAACTTCACCACAGTTTCCAGCCTACATTATTGCAATAGAAGCCTACAAAGTTTAGAGCAGACTTTATTGCTCTACCCTTGTGAGTGTTTTAGCTTACATTTTCTTTATTATTGTTTATGTACATATTACCCTATGATTGTATATCTTTTTGAGACATATATTGGATTGCTGACAGAAGCCCTAAAGCATATTCCATAATTGGGAAAGCTAAGTATTGTCTCTTTGCACATAATTGGCTGCACAAAGAAATATTTTTTTTGCACAATTTGCATTTATATATGTTTAAGTGAGTTGCACATTGATGCACTTGATCACTTTATTTGCACAATATTGCACAAATTATTTTCACCGTTTATAAATATTTTGAGTTTTAAAGGCACAGTGCACTTTATTCTTACATTGTTCTCCGCGTGTCTTGCCTACCGATGGGGGACACCAAGACACATAATGGGAAATTACTGAAGCTTAGCTCAACAACAGCGGCACCAAGTTTCCTGAAGGCCTGGGGACTTTCCATACCTACACCCTCTTTAACCCACCAGATGCCAGTGGGTGTCTGGGAGCCTGCCAACTTGGTGCCCTTTGTACCTCTAACTGGAGAAGAAACCTTACGGTCCACCTGACTACTCTTGGGGTTCCCGACGATTATCACTGTGCCAACGTCTACTCATTATTATGTTTTATGCTTTCTCTTTTCTGTTCTGTCTTCGCTCCTGAATATGTACTTCTGAACCGCTACTCTAAAGCCCTACGACACCCGACCTACTGCCTTGGATACTGCAGAGAACTAGGTCTAATGAGCATCCACAAACCATAGACAACAGTGGTCTAACCACCGATTCAGTGCTGGCTAACCCCTTGGTTAGAGGTACTCGCAAAAGAGATGAGCTTAAACACCTAAGCCCCTAACTAAACTCAGCAACAGCAAACTACATCCCTGACGGCTCAGCACACCAATTTCTAGCTGTACCTTACTCTATGTCTAGAATGTAACCATTAGATCTTAAATGCCTGCATACTACCTAACATAAGATTATTCTTGACACACTCGCACCTCATGTAGTACGACAGAATGATGAATAACCGATAAACCATTGGTTACCTCTTAAATGCATAGCTACCTATTCAGGACTCCCTACCTGATCGTTCTACCCATGCATATCAAACTTGTCTACTTTATACGTGTCAACCTGTGCATGTTTCACCTAATTCCTCTATTTCTTGTTGAATATTTTTTCTTTAAAAAAAAGAAAATTGGTGCAACTTATCCTGACGTGTTATGTTACAATCCCTCATTTCTCCACTCTTATCCCGTCAATACTGTATCTATATATTATATATTCATTTATATATCTATATTATTTTTCACACCTCACAATCACATATATGTTAAAAATAGAGGGCAGAGTGAACATAATATAAAAAATAGTGGGACGTGACAATTGCCTTTTAAGAAAGACTGGGACATAACTGGATACAAAGTGAGAAAGCCAGCAGCCTGGATGATTTGTGTTAAAAATAAATATTAATTTTACTGTTAAAAAGATAAATTCACCTCCAATGTACCATATTATTACTTTTGCCCAACGTAGGTGTGGAAGCAGTGGAAATTTGGTACAAAATCACTTGACATGCGCACAGTCGTTATTCGGCTTGTGGCATTTCCCAAAAACCCCACCCCAAAAAACACAGACACCAAATTCTTTGTTGGAAATATATAAAGTCCACAGCTTTATTTTTATGTAATTATAAACAAGATAACAAATTAGGGTCATTGCCATATAATAATAAATTTACCCCAACCCCCTTCCGTACAGCATTACCCCTGGCAATGACCCCATGCCATAAACAATATATAACAATATAAATAACACATAATATATAACACACGGCCTACCAAAGAGGCCCCATAACCATAACTTTCTTAACTGTAGGGGTGTACCGAGACACCCCTACACCACCAGGTTCGGAGCCACCGAAGAGCTCGAACCAACAGACCACTTACCACTCTGGCCTAATACAGCCTAACCTTAGCCTAGCCACTTACTACTCCTCTTCCATCCCAATTACCCTAGCCCTATCCCACCGCTGTGACCAAACGGGAACTATTACAAACAAGGGAGGGTGGGAGGGACAATTAACAGGTAAGTGCAGATTCTGGTTAAAATGGCCACTTGCTAAAATGGCCGCTTAATATACTCCCTCTATTCTCCACCCCTTATTACAATCCATTCCTAAATTCCCACCCCTAAAATTATAACTCCACCTGCCTACTCCTTGGCTCTGTCAAGGCCCATTCCCCTGACTGCGCTGATCCATGGGCTTCATGACATGCGCACAGTCGTTATTCGGCTTGTGGCATTTCCCAAAAACCCCACCCCAAAAAACACAGACACCAAATTCTTTGTTGGAAATATATAAAGTCCACAGCTTTATTTTTATGTAATTATAAACAAGATAACAAATTAGGGTCATTGCCATATAATAATAAATTTACCCCAACCCCCTTCCGTACAGCATTACCCCTGGCAATGACCCCATGCCATAAACAATATATAACAATATAAATAACACATAATATATAACACACGGCCTACCAAAGAGGCCCCATAACCATAACTTTCTTAACTGTAGGGGTGTACCGAGACACCCCTACACCACCAGGTTCGGAGCCACCGAAGAGCTCGAACCAACAGACCACTTACCACTCTGGCCTAATACAGCCTAACCTTAGCCTAGCCACTTACTACTCCTCTTCCATCCCAATTACCCTAGCCCTATCCCGCCATAGCCCGAGACTTGATACCTTAACGTCTCGAGCGCCCCCCACCATACAAAAATAGGGCCTGAGCTATGCCCTCCTGAAAACCTAAATTTAGTAAATCGCACCCCACTTCGGAAAGGTGTACCCCATCCTTGCGAAAGTACCCAGGCAACATGCCCTCTAACTCCCAGTGTCGTACTGTAACCCCGCCCGACCTCCGGACGAAAACTGACATCGCTCTATTCACTTTTCCCCGGCATCGCGCCACAGCAGCAGAGTCCCTGGTATGTCTCCAATTAAACCTCGGCACCATCTCGGACCATACTACCACCACACCAGGCACCAGCTCCCGTAGCCGATCCAGGTCCCGCTTCATTCTCCTAATTAGTTCCCTCTGAGGAATCAATCCCAAATCGTTACCCCCACCGTGAATAAGTAGTATATCAGGGGAAGCCCCCCCTGAGACCATCCTAAAAATTACTCCACTAATGTTCTGCCAACTGAAACCACGATAACCAAACCACTGTAACTCCACCGTTTCCAGAAGAAAACCCAGCTGTGTTCCATTCCGCCGAACTGCGGCCCTCTTCTGCGCCCAAAAAACGTAAGAGTGACCCACCAACCAGGCAACCATACCTGTAAAGAAACAGAATCAATTAACTTTGCTGGGCACGTATTGACAACCCCCCAACCTGACCACAACCACGTTATACCAACCAATCTGGTCTCACATATGAACGAAAACGAATGGATTCCCACCGACCGATCTGCTTAATCCGTTCGTCCCCCAGGCCCAGTCGTGCCGCCTCCGTTGCCGCCCCGATCCGAAACGAATGAGTGCCAAATTGCATGGGATGTAGGCCCAACCGCTTAAGCCCCATGCGAAATACCCGTATAAATTGAAAACGTGACAGTGCAAAACCGTCTTCATGAATAAAAAAGCACCCTGACTCCTCTGGGCGAATGTGTAAGAACTCGCGCCCGCACGCCACCGGGCAGACCTCCGACCCAGGTAACGAGAACAATACCACCTTCCTTCCTCTCCCAAAAACATCCGTCTTGGAGCGTCTCAGTTGAATCTCGACTTTGTCCCGGCCAACGACTACGTCCTCAAACTTGAGCCCGTTAACTCCGGACTTGTTACTGCTGACCAGTTCACCAATGCGGAACGCCCCGAAGAAGGCCCAAACAAACGCTACCGAAAATAACACCACCTCAAACGACGATGTGCACACATCGCGCAATCCCCCTACCAGCCCTTGCAGGATGGCAAACGACACCGGCCGCCTCGTGTCCACGGTCCTCTTCCCTTTACGGAAGCTGCGCAGGGCTTGTTTCACTATAAAATTCTTGGTAAAGTCCTCCCATCCATTAAACTTAAACCAAAATGCCAGCGCTGACATGTAACGGTCCACCCTGGAGGGCGAGGCCCCGCCTGCCAGTAACCGACACAACAACCATAACAATGTGTCAAACCTACCTGCAGCAGAGGACTCCCCTCCCGTCTGCCCTACCATCTCCTCCCATTCCGTCCAAACCTTAGTGTACGCCGCCCAGGTGCCTGGCGCTAAGGAGCTCCTTACGAAATCCCCAAGCACGATGTCCCGAGCTGCCATATGCCGTCTGGGCACGCCTGTCCCGTATCTTGTGCGCCCGGAGCTGCTTCCCGAAAACGTTCCCACTGTGAATGAGACAGCGCGTCAGCAACAACATTCAACAAGCCCGGAACGTGCCGGGCCCTGAAAACAATATTCCATGACATACAAAGAAGAACCAAGTGTCTCAACAACCGTACTACAAGCAGCGACGAAGCCGAAATACTATTGATCGCTTGCACCACCGCCATGTTGTCCGAGTGGAAAACCACCTTCCTGTTCGCGAGTTCCTCGCCCCACAGAGCTATTGCTACCACCACTGGGAAGAACTCCAGGAAGGCCAGATTCCTGATCAAGGAGCTTTCCTTCCACGACTTCGGCCACTCCTCCGCGCACCATTTCCCCCCCAGGTACGCCCCAAAACCCACGCTCCCCGAGGCGTCGGTAAATAAACCTATGTCCTCCGACGTCGCAGCTGAATCCCTAAAATAGACACGGCCGTTAAATTCCCGTAAAAAGTGTATCCATACGTCCAAATCCGCCCTCATGTCAGCTGAGACCCGGATGTAATGACCCGGAGACCGCACTCCACACGTAGCTCGAGCCAACTGCCTGCAAAAGACCCTCCCCATAGGGATAATTTTACATGCAAAATTCAGGCTCCCCACAAGAGACTGCAGGCCCCTTAAGGTCACCTTCCTGGAACCCCGTACTTCCCCCACCCGTTGGCGGAGAGCCAACAGCTTATCCACCGGCAACCGACATTCCCCTTTTACCGAGTCGATTTCCAGCCCTAGGAAGTTCAAGCACTCCGTCGGGCCCACTGTCTTTTCCCCGGCCAACGGGATCCCAAAGGTGTGTGCCACCCACTGTAAGACCCGCAGTATCTGCCCACAGCGGTCGGAGCCCGCTGGCCCTACGCACAAAAAGTCATCCAAATAGTGCACCACCGCACCCCCAGCTGACTCTTGCCGTACCACCCATTCGAAAAAGGAGCTGAACTTTTCAAAGTACGAGCAGGAAATAGAACAGCCCATGGGCAAACATAGATCAACGAAAAAGGCTTCGTCGAAACAACACCCCAATAAATGGTGACATTCCGGGTGAATAGGAAGTAACCTAAAAGCTGCTTCCACGTCAACCTTCGCCATTAACGCCCCCCGCCCGGCTCTCCGAACCAACTCGACCGCCTGGTCGAATGATGCATATGAGACCGAGCTTAGGGCTGCGTCAATGTCATCATTGACTGACGTCCCCTTTGGGTAAGACAAATGGTGTATTAAACGGAATTTGCCTGGTTCCTTCTTGGGGACCACCCCGAGCGGGGACACCCTCAAATTTGGCAGTGGCGGGGCCACAAAAGGTCCTGCCATCCTACCCAGCTTTACCTCCGCCAGCAATTTGTCCCGCACCACCCCTGGATGTTCCCGTACGGATCGCAGGTTCGCACATAAAGCCCCTGGTCCCCTCCCCTTAAATGGAATAGTAAACCCCTCTGTAAACCCCCTCCTCAAAAACTCTGCGTCCGCTCGGTTAGCGTAACGCCTTAGCCACGGCAGCATCACGCCTACCTTCACTGGGGTTGCCCCCAGCGGTAGCTGCGGAGGCCGCTGCGTTGCTGGGACCTCCTCCTGAAGCCGGCTTCCCTCTCTTGAAACACCTGTTAGCCCCATGTGTACCCCCGCAGCCAGAGCACTCGTGTTTGAATCTGCACGATGTACCCCACTTGCATTGACCCTCGTTGAAGAGCCAGCAAAAACCCTTCTTTTGTCCGGCCGGTGCCGATCCTCCGGGTACCGCACCGGCCGCCCCGTGAAAGGGCGCAGCCTTCTGCGCCATCATCAGTCTCATCCATAAGGGTAGGTCCATTTGATCCCACCGCATACTAGGATTCGCCGCTAAACGCTGGCGGAACTGCTCATCGTATTTCCACCATGCTACTCCCCCGTATGTTCGGTACGCGTCCCCAATCCCGTCCAGATAACAAAAAAGTTGTGAGCAGCGGTCGGGGAATTTTTCCCCGATAACACTGGCCAATATGCAAAAGGCCCGTAGCCAGTTCGCAAACGTTTTAGGGATCTTCCTATATCTACGCCTTTTCTCTTCTTCCTCCTTCTTTGCGTCCTTCTTGTCCTCCTCTTTCAGGTCAAGAAACTCCTCCAGAGGAAGAAGGGCAAAAACTTCCACAAACTCACCTTTCCAAATCTTGTCCTTCAACTCGGCCCTAAGATGACAGCCTAAGGGGCCCGCGAAAGAAACGTGAACATTTTGCCGCGCCGCGTCGGTAATCTCGCCGCCTACGTCCGTCTTTTCGCCCGTCCCCCCTACCGACCCGAATGCGGCTACCCTGGTGTCATCACTCCCCGTGCTAGCCTGTCCCGCGGACGTAAGACCCGCCACCGGACCCCACACCCTCGAGAATTGCGGAGAAGCCCCCCCTACTGGCCCAAGAATCTAAGAACGACTTTAAACCGCTTAACCATGAATCTGTGTGTGGTGTACCAGATGACTCACCGCCAGAGCCCCCGGCCGCGGAGGGCCGCGGGGTCGCTATCCTTCCATCCGCCGCGCACGGCTCCGGAGTGTCCAAGAGACGCCGACTCCTTTCTGCCTGGTCCGGCCTCGGGACCGTTGGTGTAATTCTCCGCGACCTGTAAGGAGAAGAACACCTGGGTAGTCTGTTCATGGGTCCCCCTACCCGCCCTTCCTCCCTACGCTCCCTTCCCGCGTTCCTACGCTTGCCCCGCTTAGTTGCCTGGCCCTCCTGGCCGCAATTGCTGTCCCGCTGTCCTTGGGAGCTCTCGTCAGAGGACCCAGAAGCGCTGCGCCGTTCCGTCCTCCCCCTGCCCCTGTAGGCCGACCTCGGCCTACTGCAACTATCAGCTGACAGGCTCCTCTCCCTGGCGCTCCATGTACCCTCCTGCCTGGCGCTTTCCTCGCGCCGTTCCCTGCTGACTCCAGGTCTGGGGTTGTGTATAACTCCTGGGCGCCCCTGGGAGATGCACCTGCGGTCCCCCCGTATCCTCCTAACCCCAGCGTCCGAATCCGCATCAGACCATTGAGAAAGGACCCCTTGTGACGCCAACCCGTCAGTAAGGGGGTCCCTGCGCTGACCCAGGCAGCCAGAATCCCCTGCTGCTGCTGTCTTGGCCTGCCTCTGACGTCCTAGCTGGGAAACCCGGTCGGCTGTCCCTCTGCTGTCATGCCTGGCCCCAACCCTGGCCGTACCCACTGAGCCCTTACTGGTATGAGCCCCCTCTGCCCCCAGGGGAGCTGTCAGCCCGTCTCCCACATCCAACTGCCTGCCCCTTTGCCGCCCGGGTGTAACACCGGAGGCAGACTCACCGGGACGCCCTTGGGCTGTGTCATCCCCTCCACTGGCCTCTGCACACATGGCTGTCCTGGAGGCCGCCGCCGCTCCTGGCACCCTGCCGTTCGCCGTCCGCCGGGCGGCGCTCCGCGTGGTAGGCCGCAGAGCCGTCACCGGCCTAATCGCCGTCCGTGCCCGACCGGCACCACGTCGAACAGACGGTGCCGGCGGCGTTTTTTCTGCCTCCTCCCGGCCGGCCCCCACAGCCAGGGACCCGCCCGCGTCCGCGGACGGGCTCAGACGCCGCCGTGCTGCAGGCATCACGCCCGGACTCAGCCGCTGGGGCGGTCTCACCCTCCTCACCGACCGCCGTTCCGCTGCCGCAGGGGGTGCATCACTGGTCCCAGGAACCCCCAGCTGCTGTTGAAGCCAGGCCATCCCCCTGTCACGCACAGCCGCTCTCACTCCGTCCAGGATCTCGTCCAGCGAAGCCATCTGCAAAATAAAGAACAAGAAACCACACAGACCTGCCAAAACAATTAACAGGTAAGTGCAGATTCTGGTTAAAATGGCCACTTGCTAAAATGGCCGCTTAATATACTCCCTCTATTCTCCACCCCTTATTACAATCCATTCCTAAATTCCCACCCCTAAAATTATAACTCCACCTGCCTACTCCTTGGCTCTGTCAAGGCCCATTCCCCTGACTGCGCTGATCCATGGGCTTCAATCCAATAAGAAGCGATAAAAACCCCCACTATACATGATGGTAAAGAGTAACTAACATACAATAATCTTCAGTGTTATATGAGCCATTTATTCAGTTAGCAGAGAGGCAGACAGATGTATATTAAATCCCTGCATCCATCTCTGGTGGCAATCTGTTTTATTTGCCTGGGCCAGGGCACCCAGGAGCATTTAGTGTACGGGAAGGAGCACTATGGAAAATATGTTTATACTGATAAATTTGCTAACCCTTTGACTTGCACATCATAAATGAATATTGACAGCACTACCAAGCGGGAATTACTCATGTGAGCTTTGACAAGGTAATTTAACCTCTTCACTACCAAACTCATTTCATTATAAAAAAATATATATATATATTTGATTTATGATACGCATAGCTAGCCTGTCAATGTGGGATACAATGGCAGTGTTGTGTAAGGATTGTTTAAGGATACCTAAAAAATTATAATAATGTGAATTCAGACAGTTTTAAATTTTTTATCAATTCTCTAATCATCTACAGATATTTTGGGAAGATTAAAAATAAATATAGAAAATTTAAGGTGCTTTCTAGCTTGCAATACTTTCAAAAGGGTTTGATTTTTTTCTTGCATAGAAGCAGAAACATGTGACTTACATCAAGTGACAAAAAAAAGATAATTAAAAAAAAAAAGTCAAAAGATTATTTTCAGAAATCTGGTGGCATTTCTGTGAATGCAGCTTCCTAAAAACAGCACCAAAATATACAAATATTGTCTGCATGCTCAAAACCGCAGCCGTAATCAAATACAACCCATTCCCTCTGTATTCCCAAAGCCCTGACTCCCACCCCGTTCCTTGGATGCTAGAATACAGCCATTACAGGGACACTCCACTGCCCAAATACAACATGAATAAAAGTCACTGTTGAGTAGATAAACCCCAAATGAAACCTTGCATGCATTTAATTATGCATTTTGTCACAGGGGAGGAGATCTAAAACAGCTTGCAAAACCTGCAGATCTCTTGTCCGCAGCATTTGTAAGCCCTCCCCTTAGAAACCTGCCCAGACTTTTTTGTGCCCGTCCAATCACAGACTTCCAAATGCAGCTCTTGGAAGGCAGGTGCTCTGGGCAATTGCTGCCTCTTGGGTTTAGCTCTACTCAGCTAACCAAACCAGGAAGTAACAGGGTCTGTTGTCTGATTGAAAGCTAGGAAGTTAAACAAAGTTTATTTTATAAATGTTTTTACTGAAATCAGCACTATTTGTAAAATTAAGACGGCATGCTCTTCACACATAAAGTGTTTCAGCAAGCTAAAGTGCTATAGGGATCTGGAGAGTCCCTTTCAGTTTGACCTGTCCAGGTATTTGTAGAGAGTGGAAGAATAAAGTGGGTGTAATTTATAGTCCCCTAACAGAGATGCAAATGGACAGAACTGAGTCTGAACAGAGGTGCTCTCTGTAGAATAGAAACATTGTTTTGCATTACAAACCAAAACTGTGTATAAATGCTGCTGGGAACGAACGGGTTAATAAAAGCATAGATCAAAACATATTTGGAAAGCTTCATTGCCAGGGCCATCAACTGAAATTTTGGGGCCCCTAACTGAGCTCAGGGTCTGGGCCCCTGGGGGCCTGCCTCCAAATCCCGCCCACAGGAATACACACACAGACACATACACATTCACTGATACAAAAGGACACAGATACACACACACACTGATACATACTAACAGACACATATAGATACGCATATTGGCATACATACTGACACACACATACTGAGACATACACACATATACAGACACACAGGCGTACATAGTGACAGACACATACTAACATACATACAGACACACATACTGATACGCATATAGGCATACATACTGACACACACATACTGAGACATACACACATATACAGACACACAGGCGTACATAGTGACAGGCACATACTAACATACATACAGACACACATACTCATACGCATATAAGCATACATACTGACACACACATACTGAGACATACACACATATACAGACACACAGGCGTACATAGTGACAGACACATACTAACATACATACAGACACACATACTGATACGCATATAGGCATACATACTGACACACACATACTGAGACATACACACATATACAGACACACAGGCGTACATAGTGACAGACACATACTAACATACATACAGACACACATGCATAAGGACATACAAACACATTCATAATGACATGCAGACAGACATTCATACTGGCATACATACATACATTCATACAGACAGAAAGACATACACACATTCATAATGACCTGCAGACATACATACACTGACATTCATACACACATGCATACAGGCATACAGGCAGACATACATACATAATGACATACATACATACACACAGACATACAGACAGACATACATACATAATGACATATATACATACACACAGACATAGACATACATACAGACATACATACAGACAGACATACATACATACACACAGACATACATACAGACAGACATACATACATACACACAGACATAGACATACATACAGACATACATTCACATACACACAGCTCATTTTCCAGCCACCCTCCTGTCTCTTACGTTGTCTTTGCAGGAGGGTGGCTGGGGCTGTTGGGACTGGGAGTCGGCTGGCTCTCCCTCTTCATTGCCGTGCGCGCGCTCCTCCCGCGCGGAGTGAACTGGGAGGAAGTGAACGGCATCATTTTTATTTATTTTTAAAGGGGCCCGGTCGTGCTATACCACGGCCACAGCGCTGACCGGGCCCCTGAAGATATAGGGCCCATCGGGTGGCCCTAAGTGTGCGGGCCACCCGATGGGCCCCATCAGCGTGACCGTTATGGTTGTCACCCCCTGATGGCAGCCCTGTTCATGGCAGCTAGTGTACGCGATATTTAAAATGTAGATCTATAATAAAAAAGGTTCAACCACACAGTGCCAGCTATATTTATATTAAAGTGTAGGGATGCATATTTAATTGGGGGTGGGGGGGGTTTCCCTGAGTGTTTCAATACGTAAAGACAAATATAGACCAATTCTATTATTGACTGTATTACTAATCCTAGCAAAACAAACTGTCCAATTTAACAGAAAAAATGCAATATCTGGGAATGACTGCTTTCAGCTTTATAATTGCTTTATAATTGCATAACTGAAAATGAGTATATAATCAATACATCCACAAAGGAAAATACTGACAATTACATTAACCCCTTCACTAACAAGTCGTTTGCAATTTAAAGAAAAGTCACAGGTTCTGGATTATTGTTTGTTCTGAATTGAACGAATTCTGGGTTATTATGTATATCATGTATAGACAAAATAAAACAACTAATTACAGAATAATAAATTAATAATTCAGAAAACAATCCCTTAAATACATTTTGTTTTTAAATTTGTAACATTTTGACATTTTTCCGAGCTCTCAATCTGTGCTGCAGGTCTCTCCTTTTCACGCATTTAGTGCATGTGCAGTAATCATCTGGGATCTGCTATTATTTCCTCAATCTGTTACCTACTACCTTACTGCCCTCACATTGGAAGGTGTGCGATCGAGATGGGGCA